TGGAAAATTCTGACTCAGATCAGTACCCACCCAGGCAAGATGGGTGTTTGACTGTGTTGAGGCCATGTTGCGCTAGGAAGTTCATTCCATGAATAGAAAAAGGTTAAGAGATGGAGATACTATTTCACGACCTGGGAAAGTGATCCGGTCTCTAATTTCCCGGTTAGTAATAGAATCATCAACACATTAGTCAAATGAAAGCAGGTTGTTCCCTTAAAGGTGCCGGAAGTTTAGCTTGACTATTCTCGAGTGTCTGAAAGCAGAGTTTAGAAAGCGAAAGTGTAGCACTGAACTCACGCACTGTTCAAAGTAAATTTACTTCACCGGAGGTGGCAGTGACTTAAACCAAGCTGAAGAAGCCTTCTCAGGATGTTGATGATCCTGGCGGAATCTAAGCTACAAAGCAGGAGGATGCACAAGCGAAATGCTCCAAGCAACCAATGCCTGATACCATGCGAAAGCATAGATGCAGAACATGCAGACCAAAGATGGTGACAACTCCCGAGCGTATTACACTGTCGGTTGGAAGCCATTACCAAAGGATTTCAGCCAGTGAGCATGACGGAACGATTCCGTTGGATAAATAGATATCTATGTTGAGGCGCCTAATACAGAATGTATAGGTATTTAGGCCGTTTTCCGCAGTCAAACTCAGGCGGATAAATATGTCAAGACCAAAAGAGGTAAGTTTGTGAACCGAAGATTTGAAATGATCGGAGCTGAAGGATAAGAATTGGTCTCTTGTACAATGTTCTGTTGCTTAGAGCAATATTAAGCAGCTTTGATAACAAGGTTTTAATAGTAAATAGCTTGACAGCTGTCTCCCCTAATAGCTTTCGTAACCAGAATATTTATGGTAATATACGATGCGGTTAACAATTCTGTCCTTCTCTTCACTTGTTACTGTCACCGAAAGAATCAACGAATGCATCAGCATATTATTAGGTTATTTGAAAAAGCATTTACATTCAATTCAATCCATATGAACTGTTCTGTCACCACATCCGATCGCAATATAGCAGCCGAGAAAACAAATCGCATATCGACGTCAATCAATGCATCGAAACATTGGGAGAATGCCATTGCTGACGAACTGTACAATAAGGGTGCGAAAATATCTTCATGACTGTGCATAAGGATTACAATCCTGCCGCACAACGGACTTCGGATACCCGACTGAGACCCAGAAACTTTTGTCCATTAACCAATCAGAATGACGCCGTGCGGAATAAACCTTTTATCCGAAACAGAGCACTATCTGTACTCTTGGAAGAAAGCGCACTCGGATAGTATTCTCCTCCATTTGGGGGTGGAAGATGTATTACAAAAAGAAACTTATTAAGCGAATAACCTCAGAATATACTTTATTTGGTACCGGCCAAAATCAACGGATTTGATTCGAACCACTAGTTACAAAAATGCACAAAATACTCGGGACTGTATTGTGCCCACGATCAACAATATCGTCAATAGAATGACCGGAAATAGAGTGGAACAATGTTGGACGGAGGGGGAAGAACCATGGATAAGGAACGATATGCTGATCGTTGAACACTGAGTAAGTGACCGAGCAAACTGGAGGAGGATGGTGGATTAGAAGTCGTCCGAAAATCGCTGGGTGGCATTCGCTTTCAACTTGTCATCTACCGCGTAGATGTCCATCACACGCAATTGAATCTGTTCGACTATTTCACGAGATAGACTATCGGAGATGGCCTGAAATTGAAGTTAAAGGAGCAGAGTGAATAGAAAAACCGAAAATCCACCGACTGTCAGCTTGGAATTAAGAGACCCCACCCATGCTTTGCATCTTAACTTNTCGATCCCGCTCGATCATTCGTTTCTCTTATCGGTATCTACCCTCTCAAATAAACATTCATAAGAACTCCACTGTACCATATCTTGCTCGAATCTCGACCAACAAGGAACAACTTATAAATAAATCACGTCAATCTTTACTTGAATGAATCAAACTTCGGAGAAATTTTTGTACACAGCAATCTGTTGGATTTGTCGATATTTCTATATATATTCTCCGGTGTGACGACCAGTGTACAATTTTTTACTGAAAAGTAAGTATATTAAGCTTGCAAAGGTTATACAAGTACAAGTAGGCTTCACAAGGAAATCATCAAGCAACTTGTATTACGGTGTGCTCACGGAAAACGGGTGCTCTTAGGTTGAAATTGGCTTTGTTGCGGTGCCCATAGCAGTTTGCATATCCCTGACCTATCAATTTGCCAGTAACAAGCTAAGCGCATGGTTACATAAATTATTCAAACCGGTTGAAGTTTATATTTTTCTATCAAAGAGAGAGGCAACCCCAATTAATGATGTAGCAAACTAGAGACAAAAAGGGTGAAAACCGTGGTATAGCGTCAAACTAATGTTCTGGCCAACAATGCGTCGAGATGTAATTGGATACATCCGTTCTTGTCCCGAGTGCCAACATAATAAATATAAGACGCCATCAACACCACCAATGCAACGAACAAGAACGTCCCCCTATCATCCGCAGGCCAACGGAATGACTGAACCGTTCAACAAAACAATGAAGGAATGGCTCAATAACCATCGCGGTGATTGAGAAGAAAACCTATTGGAAATCCTATTCAACTACAGAACCAAATCTCATTGGAGAACGGAGATACCACCCTACGAAATCATATACGGTAGAGAACGCAGAACGCCTCTGGATGCGCTTCTCGGAAGATCTAGCGAACAACTTTCCACAAAGCAACGAGACAAGCTGGAGAGAGTAGCGGTTCGGAGAACCAGGCAAACCCAGCAGCGCAACAAGGCAAGATACGACAAAGAACACCGATCACAAAAGTGGCAGCCGTTTGTACCGGGACAGCTGGTAAAAGTTTAGAATCAAGGCGGACCCAAAACAACAGGACCGGGGGCCGGAACTTTCAAGCAGAGGTGGATGGGGCCATTCAGTGTCCTGGAGAGGAAGAGAACCAGTTTTCGGATCAATCAAGGACCTCAAGGAAGATGGGCAAATGGTAAAGAATTGGAGCGGTGGTACACCCGTGGCAATCATTTTAAAGGAGTTGCGAGGGTGATGGAAGGTGATACAAAGAGAGGCCCGGCTAGCGAACGAATCAACCAGGTGCGCAGACGTAGCGGCTGGAAGTACATTGCGAGACAATGTCGACTACCACTCGAAACGAACGAATCCACAATTACAGCCCGACTGACAATCCGCATTTAGTCAGAAAGATATCCACCGAACACCACAACATCGAAGCTGTCGATCAACGTATCTCGCGTTACGATTGGGTCAAACCAGTCGGAACGGTACGCGGAAGAAGAGGAAACGTACGTGCCAAGTGCGAACCAAAATCAACAGAATGAGGCATGAATCATTCTGCCGTGCGGTTGAGAATTGATTGTATATAATCGAACGCATACACCAGTTGTTTTTGAATTGGATCAATAAACGTTTTGTCAGTCAACTCGCCTTCGCGTTACACTATGAGTGATTTGTACCCCAGTGCAACTTCGGAAAACACATTTGTGTTTCTGTACACAACACAAAAGAAATAATTTAAAATGGTTTTCTGCGATCCGCACGACGACACATTTGCCTGTCCTGTAAATCGGAAGCATAAATGTCAAGAGCCAGCATTCAAATGCTTACTAACGAACGAAAAGATTGGAGGTATACTGATCAACCAATACTGCGTATATGCATTTCGTCCATCCCCGCGCTCATCAAACAACAGATAGATAGTGTCGATCTATAAAAAGAACGTTTATAGTCGCACAGAAGACTGACTTACGCAGCACGCAAACTATTTAAAGTTTATCGTTATTTGTGGATGATATTCAGTGGTGTTAAGTGCACACAGTCGTGGACGACAGTGTTCGAGGACGAAGAGTTTACCTTCAATCAATAGAGAGATGATCCAGCTGTAAGCGAAACTCAGTAACTGAAACCACATGTGGGCGGTTTACCTGTACCATTTCTGATAGTTGGTTAGGTAGATGAACTTTGAATTAGGTAACGGATTGCTGTCTATCTGTACGACGTCTAAAGCGTTCCCTGGTGAGTTGTCATTAAAACAGCCCGGTTAAAATGTCGTTGGGAATATTCCGCTGAATGCCTCTGGAACAATGTTGAAGCCAGATTCGGGTAACCATCCAAATACTGGATTAACTTAATCGCACACAGTTTTCGTAGACCAGCAAATCTCATTGGGCGGCAATGGCCCAAGTGAGCAGGTTTGACGTAGGTGCAAATCACAACAAACGTGAGTGAAGACGGCATTTCGAACAGAAAAGAAACCAGTTTCTGCTGACCCGATAAAAACGTTCGTTGCACGAATGGTACTTAAGGTGCAACATTATTTCTATTCCCCACAAACGAATCCAAGTTACAGATAGGAAAAAGTTCCAGGGAGACCCAAACTCAACGGTATGATGGAACCAAAACTAAATAAAACAAGGAGATGCAGAGCGTCTGGATGTGAAAATAATTTATTGTGCTTCCTAGAAAGATTATGTGCGAGGTATTATGTCCCTGCTGAATATTGATTTCGAGCACTGGGACAAATCAGATCTCAAAATGAAGAAGCAGATCGGGATTGGCGTAGTATGCACCTTCGGTTTACGGTTTATCCAACTACTAACCACATACGTTCGTGCTGTTGCTACCTGCTAGCTATCCATTTGAATGAAGATTGGGATGTTAGAAGCAGTATCCAAGAGAAAACAGAACATTTAAGTTGCAGAGATTGAGAAGATGCATGGGCATCACTGATGAAAATACTCGGCCAGTTTCTCATCCTCGGTTAGGCTAATCCCGAGGTTTCTATCCAGCAAGGTTAACAGAGACCCCTGGTCACGGTTTTCATATTCTCAAGTTAAGTCATAGTTTTATCATCCCTGACTTGTTCCCATCCACAAATCTGCCCAATTAAGTATGATGATCTATTTGGTGACATCATCATTTTGGTGAGCATGGTATCTATCATCATCCTGTTCCCGTATGTATTTTGAAATTAAGAGGAAATGATACATGGAAGATGCAACAGGGTATATAGGGCCGTACCTGCCACCAAGCCATTTCGGAATGCCGATTTCCCGGGATTTCCACACCGGCAATACGCAGAGCCAAATGCAAAATTGCTGCTGCAATATGCTCCGGGGAGAAATCCAAACAGATAGGGGAATGATAAGAATCGGCCAGGATGGACCATGCCAATCCGGGAAGCCGAGCCAATGCAATGGTGGCTGCGTTCATCGAAGTTGAGCCTGATCCAAGAACAGCACCTCCAGTCGCACCAGGATTACCTCCACCACTCCCACTCAATTCGGTACCGGAAGGTTGGGCAATCCCCTTGCCTACCCAGTGCAGTAGTGAATGTAAATAGTGAACCAGATAGGCATGTGGAAGCGCGGGACGTCGGACGTGGAACGCCAGCAATCGCATAAGAAACAATTCTGTGGACACGAGACTTTCGCGAAGACGATCGTAGTCATCGCCTACTTCGAGAGGTGGCCGACAGGATTTATGCAGTGTACTTTAGAGCATGAATTGAGAAAATGGGACAGAGGTGAAGCTGAACATTTAGCTTTTGTATAAAGGAAATAATCGTGTTAGAAAATTAGTTCAATATATCCATCAAATGAATCATCATAGCTTTTATATCAATTTATTTAGCGTCTTTTTGAACGTGGTGACTGCAAGCACTTCACGCTGATAATCAATGCCAACACGAATGCCACTGCTATCTGTTACATGTCATTATCATTTAATGTTTCCAACCAACTAGTTACATAGTCATTTAGAGCCTAGCACGCAAGACACCCAGTTAACATATTCTTTACCAGCACCACTTTGCATCTAGAAGGTGAGCAGCGCATAGCGACAAAATTAACAGAGCTGACAGAAAGCAACCCATACCGGTACGAAGAGAAGCACTGAATGGACTGCATTAACAGGATTAGATCTTACAAATATAAATGAATGCATTGAAACGATGAAGTAAGCAAAGGAAACACTACGGACAATTGAAACCAGTAACATGGACGAAAATGGAGAACAAATTGCAACGGACTAGAGGCACTCACTGCGCAAAGTGAAATATTAATTTTACTTAGGGTTTAAAACATAACTAAGCTGAATACAGAACACATCAGTTTTACGGTTTACATTAGTAGCGGAATGAAGAGACAGGGGAAGAGCAGCGAGGGAAAACGGAATGGTTCTTATACCCTAGAAATGCACACCAGCTTCCGTTCATTAGCAACAAAAGCAATATGTTATCGTGCAAACGTGTCATTCTTCACCAGTTCATCCGCGAAGTCAAAGTGGATACAAAAAAGCATAGTCCGTCATGATTAGGTATCTTTAAAAAGTATCGGACAGACTGGTAAGTGGCTGTGTACAACAAAACACCACAGCACATGTCTAGATTTGCTATTTTCACATCAAGTGTGCGACCACATTGCCTTCACGAAAAAGATTGGAATGAAACAGTACCACGCGTTAGGCATAGTCATGCTGCAAGAACCATGGTTATGTCCTGATATTACCGATTCTTTGAGTGAATGGGATTTCCATTACATGCACCGTTTGGATCGAATATGTGTACTACGAAATTGTGGTGGTGGTACACCAAATGTTCTTCGTTCAAGTCGACAAAAACGATCCTCACAAACAACGTAAGACGTCTTTCCGTCGAATGTAAACCTATTTTCTTTGTAAATTTTGTTCTATAGTAGCATCAAACACTTATCTACCTCTAATGTACCGGCATTTGTTGATACAGTTATACTTACATTTATTTCTAACCGCACTGAATGCTTGTTTTTATCGTTCGTGATGAGTTTATTGTCGATGTCTACTGATTTTATTGCTTTGCAAAATTCAAACCATCTTGAGCCGTTTGCCGTTCGAAGAGAATGGTAAACTGATCAGCGTACCATAAATGCTGTGCTAAAGATCTACTCAATGTTCAATGTTCTTCAATTAGAGGCAGAGGGTAATTTCCCGTATGAGCCTCAATCACCACAGACTCGAAGATCTCATTCATGATAGATCTGCATACCACATTGTTCGCAGGACGCTGTCGAGCTTCCTCTTGAACATCTTATTATTGACCTCTTCCACTACGTCAAAGAAACATGAAGACACACTAACACCAACATCCAGCAGGAAGATTTTTCATACACTGCCAATCGGCTCATTTAGTATCGCTGAACGAAATCCCCTCTCGTACAAGGTTTGTTCAGTGTCTCGGTCGCGAGTAAACAACTCACTGGTTATTTGACCTTCCGTTTTGATCTCTGCTGCCTAAGACACCCAACATAGATCAGCCGCAGTATTCCTTGTCCCACATTGAAGTACCTCGGAAGAACCAAGGAAAGGGCACACAAAAATCGCGATCGAGCTTTGGTAAAACGGCAAACGGTGCTGATCAAAACCGAAACAGGTTTGTCACTATAACTCTATTTAAAAATCATAATTGTAGGCAAATCTCGTGTGCAATGAAAAAAACTCAGTGGAACAAAAGTTAGACTAATTGGGTCTCGACCTACAGCCGCTGAACTCAACAGCATGTTTGCTACGCCATCTCAAACGGAATCATCTTTCCACTCAGTCGACTATCATGAAATTTAGCAGTTCAATTCTAATCAAATGCGGACATGGCTCAAGCACTTCAATACACAAAAACCTTCCGGTTCTCATGGATTATGTTCTGTGGTAGTCAGGGGATGCGCTCAGCCATTTACTGGTATCCTCAATCGTTGCCTCGAGGACAAAAATCTGCGGATTGTTGAAAACCAGTCCTCAAAAGAAAGTCGGGAAATTTCAGCTCATTGCCTGCTGCAGTGCCGTATTGCTGGAGGCGGGGAGTCAGATTAAAACCAATTAGCTTATCGGAAACCGTGATCCACCTTAGATGCCCAAGCCCACTTCGTAAATCTAGTTTTGTAATCCCTAAACAGGTATGGCGCTGCATTCAGTGTATTCCTCCGACCACAGTAATGGTTTTTTATTATGTCAAAAAGGGCAGACTTCCGTTTCTAACGCGTGCTGCTGAATTGTCCCTCACTCTTTGCTCCAGGATTAATGCACTAGTAGATAAACAACGCAGTCTATCAAAGTAAAACATCTGAATAGGCATGTCACTGCTATCACACATCAATTAACTTTGGACAGCTCTCCACTGTCGTGTTGCCCTGAGAAAGCGATGGTGTTCGAAAGGTAACTGACTGTATTCAATTGCTACACACAACGGATCTGTGAGTGGGAGTGGATGGATGTTTGCGGTACACACCGTACAATAATACTTGCAGAATGAATCTTCTATGAGAATGAAGATTACTAATTTGCAATTGATGTATTAAAAGAGCTAGGTAGCGAACGTTGTCCATCTTCTCTAGTGAGTTTCCAGTCCCGGTGCGGTCATGCAACACCTAACCACCAATTAGGTTATGATAGAGCTTGGAGAAGAGAAGGGGACGAAAGCGTCAGTAACCGAACAAGCATTATTAGGATTAACTAGACTTTGAGTTGTGGTATTAGCCACCGAATCTCTCTTGGACAGATTCCAGAACCTTGGAACAAGGTGACCAACTTACCGATAAAACGCAACAATTACATCTCGTAGGCGTTGGTGTTCCTCTTGAACTTTTCCCGCCAAACTAATGGAAGCCATTGCGATTGTCTGATAACAGGAAAAGGGATGAAAGAGACCGGGATGCAAATATTCACTGGTGACCCATTTAGAACGGTCGTTCTGAGCATGGAGGTGTTTGAAAGCGTTTTTTATTGTGGAAAAGAACCGTAACAGGCTATAAGCGACTGCTGGAAAATTTCGCGATGAAGTGGTTGATAGGTGTACGTCGGTTCGGAATGCGTGTACACAATGCAATCTGGCCATCACTAACCAACTTTGGCAGCATCCAGTTAACTACAAAATCGATTTCATTCTATACTACGACAGTATGTTGTTGTAATTATAAGGTTCATCCGTTTTGTTGCGTATCAAACAGTGGACTGCAGTCGAAAAGGTACGACTGGATCTTTTGCACAGGTAGAAACTTAGTTTTGGTCGCACTAAGGTGGAAATTCATCGTAATGGCAGCATCAATCTAGTAGACAACAGGATACTACTACTTGAAAGCAACAAGGAAAATCTCTCTTTCGCTTATCAATTAAGCTAGTGCGGCCGAGAGGGGATTTTACACAATGCTGAATCAACTAAGAGCATTGCATGTCCCCTACTACTTTGGGGAAATATCACCATGTTTGCGAATAGCTAAAAAATGAACCGTGTTCCGCCCAGAAGAAATGCAACCGACGTCGTACATCGGGATCGCGCAAGCACTCGATAATCATTCGCACCATGAAGACAGTGGATTGTAACCATAACGGTAAAGACTGAAATTCTAATGGGAATTATCTATCTAAGCAACAAAACATATGGGGAAGATCAAATAAATATAAAACGATTAGACCACACTGATGACAAGATGGGCAAATCAAAAACTACCCTGAGCATATCTTGTAACAATTTAATGGAATTTTCTGCCCCTTTTTTCAAAAGTTTTAATCAAAGGTGTTCGACTGTTCCACATTGTAATTCGTTGTATGATAAGGGATATACGGAGTGACAAGAAAAAGAGGCACATTTAATTTGAGGAAGGGTGATCCTTTCAGTTTTTGGTCCTCATATGACCAGCTCTTCCTCATGCCTCCGAGATACTCCAGATAAACAACGGCCATATCTCGGTAACCACTGCATTATGGGTCTAAGCCAGGTTGAGGGCAATAGAAAAGTTTCAAACCGTTTCCAGGAAATAGTATTCTGCTGCACTGGAGTTCTCATTTGGTTGTTCAATATATGTACATTCCCGGGTAAAAGACCAAGTGATGTAAGGCACACCATTTCGCGTTTCGACAATTTTTTTGGGGATATTTAGAGCGCGTATTAAGAGACGGGCGAACGCGCTGAAATCCATGGTGGATCATCTAGGCCTACCCTCGTTCTGCAAAGTCCAGGCTATAGCATCACGGCTGAATCAATATTTGCGCCGACATCTACAGCAAACACCGCACATGGAAGGCTGCTATAGAAGATATCCGTGGAGCTAATTAGTCCTATAACAGAGCATAATTTAGAAAAACAAAAAGAGAGGAACCCAGGTTGTAAGCGAACATGTGTTTTCGGTGAGTTCCTTATCAAGCCAAGATAACAGGAAAGTGTTGTGTTGGGGTCAAGCAATCAAGGTCAAATAATTATAGCAAAGGGGTGGGGACACATTTGTCACTCGTTCTCATATTCAGATAAGAACGGGTTATGTAAGCGTTGATTATTGATTTGGGTCATCGCAACGCTCATGCGAGATGTTATCCCCTTTGGGCCAGGGAAGTGCATGAACAAGTGTTTTAGAGCACACAATTCCGGCTTCAACAAGTGGATGATAATTGCCTCGGCTGTTGCTAGCGTTTTAATTCGAACCGCCTTGGATTTGCGTTGTGGGATGCGATAAATGATGGTGAA